TATTTCATCAGGAGATGAAGCCACTGTTGACTCACAGGATTTTTCTGGAGACCAGTTCAGCACATTGACAGCACATTCTGATGAGGCTATGGTCACACAGTGGGTGTGAGATGGAGCTGTCCCCTCAGGGTCCAAGCTGTACAGACAGAGAATACGAAACAGGAGTGGTGTTCAAGGAAATGCTGAGATAAAAGGCCCGCTGGAGAAGAAACAAGTGGAATGGGGTTTGGCTGGCCATGAATCAGTCCATTATACACCTGGGGCGTTGTCTGCAAAAGACGTCTAGCTAAAAGGTGCAATTAAAAACCCCTATATAAGCACTGGGATCCGTAAACCCAGTATCACAAGCTCTCAGCCTGAGTCCTCCATTTCTCTTGGCAACTCAGGTAAGTCCTTCAAGAAAAAAATCTATTTCTGTTTCTCTAAGAGTTTCCTTTTCTTGGTACTCTCACACAGACAAACTGTGCTGTTGTAGTTTTGCCTTTCTGGAGAATTCTATGACACTGCCAACAAACACATGTTCTTATTAGAATGAGAGGGACAAAATCTTAGTGTATTCTGCTAAAAAGCTAATATTTGGAGAATATTCCTCTATTGTCTTCAAGAAGGATGACATCTAATGGACCGTACCTATCTTGGTCTCCAATCATTGCTTGGTGCCCACTATTGGGCTTGAACGTGACAATCCTGTATCTCCTCTTCTAGCCACTGCGTCCCTTGAGGAAAGAAACTGTTTCTTATTAATCTCACATTTCTAGAACACACCACAGCAGTGGCACAAAAGAAACAGTTAACAAATGCTTGTTGAAATGGTTAATTCATCCCTATCGCTATCATAAAATCTTCTGGCTGCCAAAGGACCTCAGAGCTCAGGTAGTCAGTGACTCTTGAAGTTGCATCAGAATCAGCCAGGAACAGTTTAAATAGTAGACTCCAGGGTCCCACTACTTACCTACTGAGTCACTATTTCTGGAGGGAAGACCTGGAGTCTTTATGTCTCTAAAGGTCCCCCCTGGTGATCGTTTCTTTTAAATTTGACGGTGTAGGTCTTAGTTATGGGGTCTAGCTCCCTGACCAGGGATCCAACCCCAGTTCCCTGAACTGGGAGTTTGGAGTCATAGCCACTGGACCACCAGGAAAGTCCCTCCTATTGGTAAATTTAAAGTACAGCAAAGTGTAGGAACCACAGACCTAGTCCAACAAATGCCTTAAACTAGGAATTATTCATCTTCATATATTCATTCATAGAACACTTATTGAACTTCTACTATATTCTGTGGTTGTTGTTCAGTTGCTAAGTCATATCTGACTCTTTACAACCCCAAGGACTGCAGCACACCAAGCTCTCCTGTCTTTCACTGTCTCCTGGAATTTGCCTAGAATCATGTCCATTGAGTCAGTGATGCTATCTAACCATCTCATCTTCTGCTGCCCCCTTCTCCTTTTGCCTTCAATCTTTCCAGCATCAGGGTTTTTCCCAGTGAGTCAGCTTTTCACATCAGGTGGCCAAAATATTAGAGCTTCAGCTTCAGCATAAGTCTGTCCAGTGAATATTCAGGACTGATTTCCTTTAGGATTGAGTGGTTAAATCTCCTTGCTGTGCAAGAGACTTTCAAGACTCTTCTTTGGCACCACAATTCAAAGGCATCAAATCTTTAGCGCCCAGCTTTATTTGTGGTCCAACTCTCACATCCGTACATGACTACCAGAAAAACCATAGCTTTGACTATATAGACCTCTGTTGGCAAAGCGATGTCTCTGCTTTTTAATACTCTATGCTTGTCATAGTTTTTCTGCCAAGGAGCAAGCATCTTATAATTTCATGGCTGCAGTCATTGTCTGCAGTGATTTTGTAAGTGCAAGTGTTAGTTGATCAGTCATGTCCGACTCTTTACCACCCCATGGACTGTAGCTCACCAGTTTCCTCTGTCCATGAAATTCTCCAGGCAAGAATACTGGGGTGGGTTGCCATGCCCTTCTCCAGGGAATCTTCCTGTCCCAGGTATCAAACCTAGGTCTCCTGCATTGCAGGCAGATTCTTTACCATCTGAGCCATCAGGGAAGCCTAGAAATTTTGGAGCCCAAGAAAATAACTGTCACTGCCTCCACTTTTTCCCCTTCTATCTGCCATGAAGTGATGGGCCTAGACACCATGATCTTAGTTTTTTGAATGTTGAGTTTTAAGCCTCTCTTCTTTAACCCTCATCAAGAGGCTCTTTAGCTCCTGTTCATTTTCTGACATTAGACTGATATCATGTGCATATTTGAGTCTATTAATATTTATCCTAGTAATCTTGATTCCAGCTTGTGATTCATCCAGCCTGGCATTTTGCATGATATACTCCACATATAAGTTAAATAAGCAGGGTGACAGTATACAGACTTGTACTCCTTTCCCAATTTTGAGTCATTTGTTCCAAGTCTCATTCTGTTACTTCTTGACCAGCATACAGGTTTCTCAGAAGACAGGTAAGGTAGTCTGGTATTCCCAGCTTTTTAAGAATTTTCCAGTTTGTTGTGATCCACACAGTCAAAGGCTTTAGTGCAGTCAATGAAGCTGAAGTGCATGTTTTCCTGAAACTCCCTTGCTTTCTCCATGAGCCAACAAATGTTGGCAATTTGATCTCTGGTTCTTCTGACTCTTCGAAACCCAGCTTGTACACCTGGAAGTTCTTGGTTCATGCATTGCTGAAGCCTAGCTTGAAGGATTTTGAGCATTACCTTGCTAGCATATGAAATAAGCCCAATTGTACCACAGTTTGAAATTCTTTGGCATTGCCCTTCTTTGGGATTGGAATGAAAACTGACCTTTTCCAGTTCTGTGGCCACTGCTTAATTTCCAAATTTGCTGGCGTATTGAATACAGCACTTTAACAGCACCATCTTTTAGGATTTGAAACTGGAATTCCATCACCTCCACTAGCTTTGTTTGTAGTAACACTTTCTAAGGCCCACTAGGCTTCACATGACAGGATGTCTGACTCTAGGTGAGTGGACATATTTTTCCCTTTCTCCCTTTCCTTTCACTTCTCTTCTTTCCTCAGCTATTTGTGAAGCCTTTTCAATTTATTTTCTTGAGGATGGTTTTGGTCACCATCTCCTGTACAATGTTATAAACCTCCATCCATAGTTCTTCAGGCAATCTGTCTACCAGATCTAATCGCTTGAATCTATTTGTCACTTCCACTGTAAAATCATAAGGGGTTTGATTTAGGTCATACCTGAATGATCTAATGGTTTCCCCTACTTTCTTCAATTTAAGCCTGAATTTTGCAATAAGGAGCTCATGATCTGAGCCACAATCAGCTCCAAGTCTTGTTTTTGCTGACTCTATAGAGCTTCTCCATCTTTAGCTACAAAGAATATAATCAATCTGATTTCAGTATTAACCATCTGGTAATGTCCATGTGTAGAGCCACCACCTGCATTGTTGGAAAAGGATGTTCACTATCACCAGTGTGTTCTCTTGACAAAACTCTGCTAGCCTGTGCCCTACTTCATTTTGCACTCCAAAGCCAAACTTGCCTGTTATTCCAGGTATTTCTTGACTTCCTACTTTTTGTATTCCAATCCCCTATGATGAAAAGGACATCATGTTTTGGTGTTAGCTCTAGAACGTCTAGAAGGTCTTGTAGGTCTTCATAGAGCCATTCAACTTCAGCTTCTTCAGCATCAGTGGATGGGGCACAGATTTGGATTATTGTGATGTTGAACGGTTTGCCTTGGAAACAAATTGAGATCACTCTGTCGTTATTGAGATTGCACTCAAGTACTGCATTTCAAACTCTTGCTAACTCTGAGGGCTACTCCATATTTTCTAGGAGATTCTTGTCCATAGTAGTAGCTACAATAGTCATCTGAATTAAATTTTCTCATTCCCGTCCATTTTAGTTCAATGATTCCTAAGATGCCAGTGCTCACTCTTGTTATCTCCTGCTTGACCACATCCAATTTACCTTGATTCACAGACTTAAAATTGCAGCTTCCTATGCACTATTGCTCTTTACAGCATCAGAATTTACTTTCACCACCAGACACATCCACAACTGAGCATAATTTCCACTTTGGCCCAGCTGCTTCATTCTTTCTGAAAATTTTAGTGATTGTCTTCCACTCTTCCCCAGTAGCATATTAAACACCTTCTGACCTGGGGGGCTCATCTTCCATATCTTTTTGCTTTTTCATACTGTTCATGGGGTTCTCACGGCAAGAATACTGGAATGGCTTGCCATTCCCTCCTCCAATGGACCACATTTTGTCAGAACAAATAATGTGTCCATCTTGGGTGGCCTGGCTAATAGCTTCACTGAGTTACACAAGCCTCTTCACTATGACAAGGCTGTGATGCATGAAGGCATATATATTCTAGGCACTAAGATAAATATAAAGTATATATGATATGGTCCTGGTCCTCACAGACCCCAATCTCTACAGGAGTGAGATAAGAAACAGCAATTAATATACAATGTGACATGTATAATAATAGGATTAAGTACAAAGAAATAGATAATTTAATGCAGATGATTCTCTTGACCTGCTTTTTACTTCCTGGTCAGGTAGTACAGTGTTGACAGCCCTTCCCATTAGCACTATCCACAGGGGATGGAAACAAAAGTTGTATATCTTCATTCCAGGTGACTTCCATGCAGTGCATTTATGACTACAGAGCCAAGGGATCCTGTTCAGTTTCTATCCTCTTCTGTTTAGGGATCATAGTAAAAGCATTATCATTGCAAGTGAAATATTGGGTTGGCAAAAAAGTTTGTTTGGGTTTTTCTGTAACATCCTATGGAAAAATCCAAATGAACTTTTTGACCAAACCAATACAAACTAAAAATGCCAAATTTCACAAATTCCCAAAGCCAGCTATACATCTGAAATTACAAATAGGCCAGATCTTTACATTGTAATCTGCTTCCAAGATATGGAGGAAGAAGAGATATGAAACAAGTTGGGAATTCTTTGTCCTATTCCAGGTGCACTCCAGCTGGCTAAACAAGATGACTCATCATCTTCTGAGAAACATCATCAGTATCATTGAGGCTTTCCTCTCTAATGCAAAGAGTGATGGAGACTATCAGAGGCTAAACAAGACAGAACTTAAGAAACTTCTCCAAGAAGAGTTTGGAAGTGCTCTGGAGGTAAGAAGGACCATCTTCTTTGTTACTTGGGACTTTTATTGGATCCAATGGCATTACCCTCTCTTGGTTTTCCTCCTACTGGTCCAGCTATTTCCTCTAAGGATTATTTCAAGTTCCTCTCCCTCTGTCCATTACTTAAGGCTTGATATTCTCTGGGATTCTCTTCTCACTTCATGCATTCTCCTCAATAATTTCACTAACACTCTTTGTTTGAACCACTGTCTGTATGTTGAAGATTTCAGTCACTTCATCAGTTCAGATCTCTCTCCTGAGCTTCACATACATTGAGCATCTCCCCTGGATATTGCATTTAAATTCAACCTTTGCAAAACTCAAGATTTGATCCTGGTCAGTTCAGTTCAGCTCAGTTCAGTCGCTCAGTCGTGTCCGACTCTTTGTGACCCCATGAATCGCAGCACGCCAGGCCTCTCTGTCCATCACCAACTCCTGGAGTTAACTCAAACTCATGCCCATCGAGTCGGTGATGCCATCCAGGCATCTCATCCTCTGTCATCCCCTTCTCCTCCTGCCCCCAATCCCTCCCAGTATCACGGTCTTTTCCAATAAGTCAACTCTTCACATGATCCTGGTCAAACTGGCCAATTTCTTCTACCTGCGATATATCACAGAGATGTCACCAAAGCAGCTGGATGTATAAGTATGGAGCTCAAAAAAGGGATCTGGTCCGAGGACAAAAATCTGATTATCATTTTCTGATTGATGGTTGAAACCACAGGAATGCATGATAATGTTAAAAACAGGGTAAGAACAATGTCCACAGCTAAATTCTGAACAACTCTAATATTTAGAGATGAAGTAGAAAAGGAGAAATGAAAATAGGAAATGGAAAGGGAGGTTAGAGATATAGGAGGAAAACTAAGAGAGTAGGATAGTCATGGAATCCAAGAGAAGAGAATGTTTCTAAAGGGAAAATTAATTATTTGTGCTAATTGAAGCTGAGAGGTCAAATAAAATGTGGGTTGAAAAGTGCCCATTGTCTTTGGCATTAAGGAAGACACTTGGTGTGGTGGTAAATGTAGATGCAAGAATGACACTACAATATTGTAAAGTAATGAGACTTCAACTAATAAAAATAAATGGAAAAAAAAAAGAATGACATGGATTGAAGGGTGAATGAAGGGCAAAGAAGTGGAAACATTTGCAGATAATTTTCATGAAGCTTGGAAATAAATGATAAGAAAAGATAATGGATGGTAGACAGAAACAGATGTGGAATGTGGTATATAAGAAGATTTTTTAATATGGTAACTAATAAAGCATACTGTTACAGTATGATAACCAGTGAATACTAAAAGATTTAAAAGTCAAGAGAAAGAGGGATTATGAGAAGCAATTCAGACTTCTAGACAATAAAGGGAATTAACTCCAGAGCACACATAGATGGATTTGTCTTTGACTGAAACAGGTGAACTTCCTCTAATGTCTTAGGAAAATGATGAGGGAGTTCTACTTTGGTGACTTGTACCTACTTTTGAACATGAAAGAGTCTTCAGTAAGAGTTGGAGAGAGAGGCATTAGTGATAAATATATAATAAATATATCAATACATAATAAAAATATATTTAAATGTTATGCTTTTGTAATACAAGTTAGGAATAAGTACTTTATTCACTGTGATTCCAAATTATGAAACTATATATAATACTGTCATGGAATATTATTAAGGGAGGCAACTAATTAAAAAAACAAAAAAATAGAACACAGAAAGTTCATGTGTCCCTTAAGAAATTTTCTAGGTAACAAAGAAGGAATAAGAAAAAAAACAATAACAAATGATGAATATGCTACCTATTTTCTTGTTCTCCTTCTTTTCTTTCTCTTTCTTTCTTGTTGTTCTTTTCTTCTCTCATAGGAATCAAATAATCCTGAGACAATAGAAAAAATCCACCAGCAGCTGGATCAAGATGGTGACCAAACAATTGATTTCAGTGAATTAATCTTGCTCATATTTGCAGTGACAACAGCCTACTACACACACATAAAACTTCTCTACCCCAAAATAAAAGAAAGGGAGAGAAGATCTGTAATTCAAGAAAAACAAGTAACAGAACTAGAAGGCAAGCAACTGCAAAAAGAAAAATTCCAAGAGAGTGATCAAAGTGAAGAGTCCCCCGATGTGCAGAGACATAAACTGAGAGACCAGAGACAAACGCCCAGTGATGAAAAGAGTCATGGAGTGAGAGACCAAACTCTAACACCAAGGGATGAGAGGAGACTCCAAGGAAGAGACGTGAGACCTGAGGTTGGAAATGATGAGAGAAGCCTAGACAGGGAGCAGAGACCAGCTCCAAGACAGGATAAACCGATCCAACAGAGAGACGAGATACCTTCAACAACAGATGATGAGGGCAGTCAAGTAAGAGACGTGAGTCCAGATCCCAAGAGTGAAGAGAGACACCGCCTTAGGGAGCAAAGACTGGAACCCAGACATGATGAGAGAACACAAATTAGGGACCAGAGACCAACTACAACAGAAGATGAGAGACTTGGGGTGAGAGCTCAAACGCTAACACCAAGAGATGAGAGGAGACTCCAAGTAAGAGACGTGAGACGTGAACTTGGAAATGATGAGAGAAGCCAAGACAGGGATCAGAGACCAGCTCCAAGACAAGATGAAAGGATCGAACATAGAGACCGAATCCCCTTATCAAGGGATGATGAGAGAAACCAAGTGAGAGACCTGAGTCCTGAACCCCAGAACGATGAGAGACACCGCCTTAGGGAGCAAAGACTGGAACCCAGACATGATGAGAGAACACAAATTAGGGACCAGAGACCAACTGCAATGGACGATGACAGATTTGGAGTGAGAGATCAAACCCTAACACCAAGGGATGAGAGGAGACTCCAAGTAAGAGATAAGAGACGTGAACTTGGAAATGATGAGAGAAGCCAAGACAGGGATCAGAGACCAGCTCCAAGACAAGATGAAAGGATCGAACATAGAGACCGAATCCCCTTATCAAGGGATGATGAGAGAAACCAAGTGAGAGACCTGAGTCCTGAACCCCAGAACGATGAGAGACACCGCCTTAGGGAGCAAAGACTGGAACCCAGACATGATGAGAGAACACAAATTAGGGACCAGAGACCAACTGCAATGGACGATGACAGATTTGGAGTGAGAGATCAAACCCTAACACCAAGGGATGAGAGGAGACTCCAAGTAAGAGATAAGAGACGTGAACTTGGAAATGATGAGAGAAGCCAAGACAGGGATCAGAGACCAGCTCCAAGACAAGATGAAAGGATCGAACATAGAGACCGAATCCCCTTATCAAGGGATGATGAGAGAAACCAAGTGAGAGACCTGAGTCCTGAACCCCAGAACGATGAGAGACACCGCCTTAGGGAGCAAACACCAGAACCCAGGAGTGATGAGAGAAGGCAAATTAGGGACCAGAGACCAACTGCAACAGAAGATGAGAGACCTGGAGTGAGAGACCAAATCCTAACAGCAACAGATGAGAGGAGACTCCAAGTAAGAGATGTGAGACCTGAAGTTGGAAATGATGAGAGAAGCCTAGACAGGGAGCAGAGACCAGCTCCAAGACAAGATGAAAGGATCGAACATAGAGACCGAATCCCCTTATCAAGGGATGATGAGAGAAACCAAGTGAGAGACCTGAGTCCTGAACCCCAGAACGATGAGAGACACCGCCTTAGGGAGCAAAGACTGGAACCCAGACATGATGAGAGAACACAAATTAGGGACCAGAGACCAACTGCAATGGACGATGACAGATTTGGAGTGAGAGATCAAACCCTAACACCAAGGGATGAGAGGAGACTCCAAGTAAGAGATAAGAGACGTGAACTTGGAAATGATGAGAGAAGCCAAGACAGGGATCAGAGACCAGCTCCAAGACAAGATGAAAGGATCGAACATAGAGACCGAATCCCCTTATCAAGGGATGATGAGAGAAACCAAGTGAGAGACCTGAGTCCTGAACCCCAGAACGATGAGAGACACCGCCTTAGGGAGCAAAGACTGGAACCCAGACATGATGAGAGAACACAAATTAGGGACCAGAGACCAACTGCAATGGACGATGACAGATTTGGAGTGAGAGATCAAACCCTAACACCAAGGGATGAGAGGAGACTCCAAGTAAGAGATAAGAGACGTGAACTTGGAAATGATGAGAGAAGCCAAGACAGGGATCAGAGACCAGCTCCAAGACAAGATGAAAGGATCGAACATAGAGACCGAATCCCCTTATCAAGGGATGATGAGAGAAACCAAGTGAGAGACCTGAGTCCTGAACCCCAGAACGATGAGAGACACCGCCTTAGGGAGCAAACACCAGAACCCAGGAGTGATGAGAGAAGGCAAATTAGGGACCAGAGACCAACTGCAACAGAAGATGAGAGACCTGGAGTGAGAGACCAAATCCTAACAGCAACAGATGAGAGGAGACTCCAAGTAAGAGATGTGAGACCTGAAGTTGGAAATGATGAGAGAAGCCTAGACAGGGAGCAGAGACCAGCTCCAAGACAAGATGAAAGGATCGAACATAGAGACCGAATCCCCTTATCAAGGGATGATGAGAGAAACCAAGTGAGAGACCTGAGTCCTGAACCCCAGAACGATGAGAGACACCGCCTTAGGGAGCAAAGACTGGAACCCAGACATGATGAGAGAACACAAATTAGGGACCAGAGACCAACTGCAATGGACGATGACAGATTTGGAGTGAGAGATCAAACCCTAACACCAAGGGATGAGAGGAGACTCCAAGTAAGAGATAAGAGACGTGAACTTGGAAATGATGAGAGAAGCCAAGACAGGGATCAGAGACCAGCTCCAAGACAAGATGAAAGGATCGAACATAGAGACCGAATCCCCTTATCAAGGGATGATGAGAGAAACCAAGTGAGAGACCTGAGTCCTGAACCCCAGAACGATGAGAGACACCGCCTTAGGGAGCAAAGACTGGAACCCAGACATGATGAGAGAACACAAATTAGGGACCAGA